CATTCGGTGTGTGATTACAACCAAACTAACTGTAAGCGTAAATTTCTCTAATAACACCATGAACTCTAGAGTGCATATAACATATTTTTGTAACCATTCATAGCCCAGCTGACATACGAAGAATGAGAGTGCGCAATTTTATCACAAGATACTTCAATAGCGTATGGCTCTCAATTTTCAATGTCTTGTGTTCATGAGGTTTCAGGATAAAAGAATGCAGTGTCGGCAGTTTCATAGGCTTTCAGAACGCCCGATTTGCATACAAGCGATCATTACGTGCGAGGTAATGGGGTGTGCGATAGATTTATCTACATGTGGTACACCCTGGGCAACGCATACTCATGCGGCATAAAAGTCTATCAACCGGTAATTGACTTCCTACTTCAAACTACCATCACCCCACTACATGTCATATTCGACTACTTCCAAGGTACTCACTCCACCTTTTTCCTTTCTTTGTGTCTGTCGCTTTTACAACTGCAAATCACTCTTCTGTTCCCCCCCCCCCTCCTCGAGATTTTTTCACTTTGGTGCTCCTTCCCCTCTGTGAAGAATGAAGTCATCTAAATGGCTAATGATAACTATCAAATCGCCCGATATTTGATATAAATAAATTTGTGAGGTTATTTAAACGTAGAAGGCATACACTAACAGTCCCGTACAATTAAAGAGTTAAAATTGAACATTTGCAATACGACTGCAGACATCACACCAAAAGAAACTGCTAAGGTATTCAAAAATAAAATTTTGTGTGAAAGTTCACCCCGAAAGTTCCCAAGACTTGTTGAGCAAAACTGAGCTAATACTATTAATTTTAATTTTCTGTATTTACTAGCTTTAATTAAAAACGTGGTATTAATTTATTTTTCTGCATTGATGCAGGACCTATGTTATCTTGGCTACCCAGTATAAAACCTTGATGTAGTACTGGCTCAGACTAAGATTGTTTTAAATGACATAGTAACAGTCATTTCGAAGCTGGCAGAATTTCTCCATAAATGCCTGCTTCTGGAGTCTTTGCAAGACTTTGTCTTCCTAAAAGTGTGTCTTTACTCACTCATGCTTAGAGTAATTGGGGATTTTTAATTTTTTACCTCATGACACACCTAAAACACCTTATATACCAGCTCTTGACGTTTCAAAGTTTAATTTAAACTTATATAGTTCCAAAAATTATTGCTGAAATATTAGAAAAAATCTGCATTCAAATTTATCTGTATTTGTCGATCTAGCACTTTCTCGACTAAGCGTATAAGATATTCCTTTAGGATCATACGAATCTTTTACGGTTCTCTCTTCGCAAGTTTTACTTACAATTTTCCATATTTCGAATTATAGTTACAGTTTCAATTACAGTTGCGAATGAGGCAATGTGTAATCGAGAATGGATGGAGATTAGGGCCAGAATACTGCGAGATGGTTTGGTGCAGACGTTGTCGTACCTCCTGTTCTCAAACACACTTATTTTCTTAAGTCTGTTATATGTTCCCATTTGATCAGCTCAATATTTCTCTTAACACAAATACTTTTTCGTTTATTAATTTATATTTATTTCATTACAGCTCTGTACATAATGGGCGACACTCACAGTGAATTTGGTGTCCCGGTGTATTCAATGCAATATCTTTCTCTAACTTCATGGAGGGACTGAAGTGAAATTTAGGTAATGTTTAATCAATTAAAAGCTACCAAACTTATTGGGAGAATAATCAAATCAACTGCTCTTCATTGAATACACAATACATGGAACATTCTTTGATTGCTTCATGCTAATCATTACGACTTAGTTAGAATTTTTATCTATATTCACTTCTCTCATTTCTTGTAATGGAGAATAAATACACTTGTTTCGATTCTGTGAATTTGTTATTAATAAAAGAATGTTTTAATTTACTTGAACTACTTCAACACTTGAGATGTTTCTGTGAAGATAAAACACTCCTTCACTAATCACACAAACATTATTAAGCTGAACTCAGTAAATATCACCCAAAATTCTGCGAATTAAAGTAGTTTAAGCATCAGATCTTTGTGGACATAAGCAAACTCGCTGGTTGAAATATTCCTGGATGCACAGGTTTCAAGGGGTATATATCAAGAAAAGAAACTCGATTCGGCATTGTTAGTTAAAATTATTTTAGAAGCTAAACTTGATTGATTGAAAGTCGCGATAATGACTTTGCATTAAAGTTTAAAGACAGATTATCTGAACTATAGAGTTTTATTGAGTTGGAAATGTAACCTACTTAGATTGGACAATGAAGATAATTATACTGAGTGAATAAATACGCAGATCAAGATAATCATCGAGCAAACTTGAACAGATAAGAGTGGATTTAAGTGCAAAGTTTATCAGATGAATTGAGATGTTGAATACTACGTTAATCTAATTCTTCTCTTTATTGAACAACGCACTATCACGCAAAATCCCGTACTTAAAAGTATTGTCAGCTGGTAGTTCTTTGTAAGAACTACTAATTTGAAAACCTCTTGTTATACTATTAACTTTGAGGATACACTTCTAATCTCATAGTAAGGTACCGAATTGAAACACCTTGATGGCAAGTTAATAATGAGACGTTGCTATGCCTAATTGCTCCAGTCCCTGGAACTGATGAGATATTTTTTTATCTTTGAAGTTTTTGCGGTCTTAATAAGTAACTCAAGGTAGTCTCCAATATTTCACTGTTATCTAGGAATATGCTTTCTAATCCAAAACAAGGAAACCTCATATGGCATAATCCCTTGCACACTCTCAATTATGTTTGAAGAGTGAAAAGTCTAAGCTTTAAATAAAATGAATTTTGATATTCAATTTAAGATGAGGCAGATATTTATTTATATCAAATGGTAGGCTTCGTGATGATTTTCATTAGCTCTTTAGTTGAATTCTGGCCTCATAGAGGGTAGGAACAACAAAATCACAACAAGTCGAGGAAGGGGGCAGAGAGGAGTGTTTCAAAGATGTAAAAGAGACGGGCACAAAGGTAGAAAAAGGTGAGGTGAGTACTGTGAAGTAGTCGAATATGACATGCAATGGGGTGATGGCAGTGTGAATTCAGAAGTCAACTGCTGGTTTATAGACTTTTTGCGTAGGAGTATAAATTGTTCAGGGTATGCCACGTACAGGTAAGTCTATTGCTAAACCCCAGGATGAAGCTTATATGATTTGTCGTAAAGCTTGCATATCAGCACGTCAATCAAATTCCCAGAGAGACTTAGACTGTAGATAGACTTGCTTTCTAACATACATTAATTTAAAAGCCAATATCTTACAGAGAAATCAGCCTTAGCTAACCAGGCATAAATATAAAAGTGGTAAAATCTATTGCATTCCCCTACACAACTTCCTTTTTCAGCTAGAAAAGAAACCAATATGAAAGTAGTGGCAAAGCTGTTGAGATGTTTTCAATAATTGCGTATTTCACAAAATTCAGCAAAATTAGTGCTTCCCAATGAGGTGATTAAAGAGATGAGATTTTGCTTATACGTCTTCCGGTGTTACTCCATTTAACCAGACTCCTCCTGTGGATCTCTTCATTAAGACCAAATGATGAAATCCGCTAACAAAGCTATTTTGACTTCACGAATCGTTAAAAGTGCAACTGTCTTCTAAGTAATTAATAACGCTTACTTTCAATGCCGCCCGAATTCCATCGAAATCTCTGACATATAAACATAAAGTTTGATTATCCTAAACGCCGTTTCCACATAACTTGCATTCATCAGCCTATTTCCGCTCTGCAATTCAATCTTAAAAGATTTTCAGACCATATAATTATCTTCCTTTGTGACAATTCTGTAAATTTTGTTTTATAATAACGTGACTCAAGAACTCTACGGAGAAAAGTTAACATGTGCTTACGTAAGCTATAATCCGTAAAATAACAGAGTTAGGTTCTGTACCATAACTTAGGTTGGTGGCTTCCTGAATAAGCATTCTAACAGTTAGCTATTTATGCACACGTTTTAGCCGGAAATCCGGTTTAAGGAATTGAAAAATTTTTCACTTTTACTCAAACTAATAATTTTGAAATTTCATCAGCACAAAGAATTTCCACACCGCGTTAAAAACTAAAACAATAGTTAACACCTATAGGTTTGGGATTAAACAATGATTGGGTGTGGACAATATCTTTAATTAGTTTAAGTAATAAGGTGTTTGGTGGTGGTTTGGACAAGTTAATAAGTTCTGGATATAAACAATATTTGACGTTATGATATAAATAGAATGCTTTTATTTTATTGATTGTTGCCTGTATTAAAAATAAACAGCCTTAAATGACGCTACGTCACTAAAGATGGAGAATGAAAGGTTCATATGGTGTTGGCTAAAATTTGATGTAAAGTTCTGCAAAATTAGTTCGCTTTGCTATGCTATCTGCAAATATTTAATTTGGCATCAAAAATGACCAGATGCATTCACAATATCGTTGGGAATAGCATTTAGCTTTAATTTCTTTAGTATTATTGTTTTAAGTAAAACGATGTTGTGGTACACATAAAGGCATAATAAAGTTTTGCGATATTGAAAAAAAATTGGGCAATGTTTTGGGTCAATCAAAAGTAGCATACTGCTTTGATATATAGAGGAATAAATAATGGGTCGTAGTTCGAAAACTAACGATTAGAAACCCAAGAAAACCCCTATAAATAAAAATATTACAGGTAAGAATGGCTATACAGCCGAAAAATGAACGAAAAATAATGAAAAACCTAAGATGTATAGTATCTTTCATATCTATATTAGCAGAGTTCCTTTTAAATTTATCATGGAATTCTAAAAGTTAAAATTGATTTAAAAAATAAACTTAAGATACTGAGAGTTTTTAACAACTAATTTTTGTTTTATAAAATAAATATTAAAAGTGGTGCTTCACATTATTAAGGAACTTATAATTTTCATTAACAGATCACAGTAGTTTAAATACACTAATATAGATTAGAAGGTCACCGAGATCGCAATTGAATGGTCTGAAGGCTGTACCTTAACGCAGATTATGGATATTAAGGAACAGACGGAAGTAAGCAACGACTCCCAAAACGATGATAACTTACCTCCGTCAGAAAAATTTAACCCGTCACTTATGCAGAAGGCTACTCCCGAATACCTCCAAGAACTCCTTCTGGACAAAAAAACGTTACAAAACTTCCCCAACACTTTTAAACATCTTGAATTAATCCTCGAAAAGGGTGGGTCTATTTTATGTTTTTCTTCCTGTCCATAATTCATATTTTCGACGAGTCACGAATCGCGTGTATTCTTGAACTTGTAGGTTAATAAACAGGTAACAATGCATCTATAGTATGGTACATATCCGCAAGAATAAAAGATACTCACTTTTGCCTTAACATAGTTTTATTATTCCGTTCACATTCTTTATTGATTAAATTAACCCGCATTACTGAATAATATGTTCTATCAGCAGTCGCTATTGATTAATGGGGTATGAAATTGCTAATAACGAAATTGTCTTGATTAATTTAACATACACCTTGGCTTTCTGTATGCCACAGTTTAATTCTGGAAAGTTAAAAATCCGATTTGAATGTTATTGTTTGGCCAACCGGGTATGATTAACTTGAAAAAATAAAACTATAACAGCTTAACTTCATAACGGCGAGCTCGCTGAAATTTATATTTGATCATTACTCTCTCTCTGTCTCCTCTCATACATTTTGCTCATAGAATGTCTTTTGATTTGCCGTATTTCCTCCGACATTTGGCAATGCAATATTAATTCTTTGTTTATAACAGTCATTTCGTTTGGTCCTTTAGAAATCGCCCAGGTCCGAGAACGACTTTTTCACAAAAATGGTTCCATCCAGATGAATAGCACTGATCTTCCCGATCCCTCCGGCCAAATCGTCACACTTCAAAGAAAAGTTTTTATACCCGTCAAGGAAAATCCGACAGTAAGTCAATGAAATGATCACTCAAACCAAAACTCTTACAAGCTTTTCTTTGTTTAAGCAGTTGAATTTAGTTAATGTCAAATTAAATAAATTATTTAGGGAAGTGGATGCAAAACTATTGAGAACTATGTCAAAGTTGAGCATCTGATTTTTTAATTCGCTGTATATACCACTACTGTTTGGGCTGTTCGCATTTCGAAATTTAAATTTCGTGATTTCCTGCATGTGTTTCTGTGTCCATTCTTATCTGCGATTTCAATTGTTTGTTAATCGTTTCTAACTCATTACGTTTATTGATCTTGTCATTGGGGTTCATTTGCTGTCAAAT